TACCGCATGAGGGTTTTCCTGCTGTTAGTAAGAACTGTTGGATATGAGACCATTGAGCTTCAATTGTCTCCAGTGAGCGCTTACTCAGCTCCCATGACAGCTTACTTTGATAGGCATTCAGAACAGCTGATTTCGCCAGTTGGCTGGTGTCTGCGCTCACAACGTCGTCGTGGGCGTCCGCCAAAACGCATCTACAGGTCAGCACATACTAGTGCATGGTCGGTGTCCACACCTGTGCTGCAAGTCGAACGACAGTTCTGGACGCAGCCTTTCCATCGGTAACTTATCGCAAAGTGATCGATTTGTGTCCAAGGCTGGTTGGTGCGAAGTCACCCTCCGGCGGGTGTTGTGTCGGAAATTAGTGCTCGCAAGAAATAAGTGAGCATCCCCACATAAATGAAGTAACCGCTCACCGTTATCGTTACAGGAGCCTACACCATGTTGGCTGCCCAGATGCAACTCATCTGTGGATAATTTTCCAACTTGAGCGTTCAGATCCCCAGCCAGCACAACAGTGTCCGAGCTTCTTCTCTGGCAAATGAGCTCGTTCAATTGGCGATTGAAGTCGTCTTTTACCGAATCCTCGCTATAGTTTGTGGGTGCATAGGCAACGATGACGAATAGACACCTGTTAGTCCCACGCAACTTCGAAGTTTTGAATGAGCCAGCCAATCGGACCGCACCCATCCGGTTACTGATTGGAATCCAATCAACCAGAGTAGCTTCAGACCGGGGACTCAGGGTAATACCAACACCGGCTTGGCCGGTTCTCGAAGCTGCATTCTCACCGGATAAGCGCAATGAGAAAGTGCTGCTAGTTTCACCTGAAGGGGATCGCAGAGTGAGCACATAGCTCGCGTCTTGCAGGCGGGTCTCCGATAAGCAGCAGATATCGATCGAGATGGTCTCTAATGTTCGGGCAAGTGCTGCCTGTTGACCGATCTGAAGCAATGTGCGAACATTGAGACATGCCAATCTGAAGGAGGATCGAGGGCTCCAAATGGAGGCCGGTGAACAGGAATGGGCCGCTTGGTTGGACATGGGCCTGTCGACAGGACAGGAATGACGCTCCGCGTTCGCATGTGAGTTGAAACTAAAAGACAAGCGACTATTGAAGCAGGGTGGGGGAGGGCCGAGAATTGGGGGTTGAAAACAGGGGGGGATAAAAGTGAAGCTGGAACGGGACGATAAGGGTGAAAAAGCGCAAGAGGGGGAATGAGAAGACGGGAAGGCTTGAGCAGTAGCATGCAAACCCCTATCTACCCTGCCCGATGCAGCAGATAGGGCACCGTTTATTATCCTCTGCGGCGGCCAGAGCATCAGAAATGTGATAGTCCATGTAGAAACCAGTGATCATCGTTGTCTACCCACTAACCGTTATATATTCACGTCTGGCTGCAACAACGAGTGATTCTATAGCGAGTCATATTGGCTTTGTTTCGCAATCTTGCGGCGCGGGTTGAATCCGCGTAGGGTTGGGTGTCCTCGCGGTGTACTCAGTCTGCGTGCGACCGGTGGTGGTCGCACATCAGCGAAGCGCCTTTACGGCGTATAACTGACACATTACTATTATTTTGTGTTATTAAATGGGGAACTAGCCGTGTCCGCAGAGAGAGAGAGAGAGAGAGAGAGAGAGAGAGACGGCTAGCCGTCCCACATGACCGGATTTGATCATTTGTAGAGGCAAAAAAATAAAAAAGGAATAATAACGTGACATGCCCATATGTGGTCAAAGGTTAGTATGCATCAATAACACCGTCGGTGACCGCTATAGTGCCGCTGAGTGACCGTATTTTGTGCCAATGGCCGCCCTAGTGAAACATATTTGAGACTAATCTCGGTCTTTCAAAACAATTTTCAGTGTAGCTTGACATCCTCGGTACTGTGTAATTACGGACTTGAATCGATTTCCGCTTAGTGTTGTTGGAATTTACAACCGGGAAATGCATGTACGGTGTACGCTAAGGCTGCATTGGGGAAAAGGTTTTCTGAGTGACCAAAATTCGTCCCACCTGAAGGGCCAGGGGAACAAAAACTGTCACTCTAGTGGATGTTTCTCAGTCACTTGTGTTATGCGGGAACCCGGAACCCTCGACGCTTTAGGATGATACCGCCATGTCTCCGATTTCGAAAAGATGAGGTCTATTCATGGTTGCATTCACAAGAAAGGCAATCCTGATCTACCACCTGGGGACGCACCCGGTAGCGTACACTACTGCTGATCCGGGAAATTCGTAAGTGCTGCATAGAGTTATTCCACACTTCACGATAACACCAGGTACCACTTGTGGGAGGTAATAAACAATCACCAGGATATCTGACATTAAATCCGCCGCTTGCAGAGTTAAAAAGCACCCGGCCTTGATGGTTTACATCCCTCCCTATTTAAAGATGGTGGCTATTCGCTGGTTCGAGAAGTATGGTCAAAGGAGGTTCCATCAAGCTGACGTGAGACGATAGCCATCCCCATCTTCAAAAAGGGTTTGTATACAGTGTGCTCCAACTACAGGGGTATCAGATTGCTTCCGTCATCTGCAAACTTCTGATGTCCGACATACTTCGCATGCTACCCCAACGCGCGAACAGCTACAGTGAGAAAAACAGGCTGGGTTCCACCCTGGTCACGGCTGCATCGATTAAACTTTCACACCTTACCAGATCCTGGAGCTCCACCATGTGTATCAAAAGCCAATGAATGTCGTGTTCCTGGATATCCGTACTGTTTTCGAAACTGTCGAGGGGACTGCATTATGGCACTGTCTGCTGAAGAATAGCGTTCCCGGGAAGTTCGTTTCCGTACTGCGTGCGATGTATAGTCTGACCTCGAGTAGAGTTAGGGCTTATGGTAAGTCTTCGGCTTCCTTTGCTGTCACAAGCGGAGTTCGACAAGGATACCCTGTGTCCGCATTACCCTTTAATTTTGACATTAAGGTAGTCTTCAAAAATGCTCTGGAAGATTCGCTAAAGGCTGGCGTTGAGCTACTACCAAACAGTCGAGTTGTTGATTTGGACTAGGCTAGTGATACTGTCTTGCTGAGTGATGATTCACAGGCTGTGCAAGTTGCACTTGACTACTTGGCGATTTAAGCGTCGAAGTATGGCATGCGCTTTTCCCCATTCAAGTGCAAAGTCTTGCAAGACTGGCAGATACCAGTACCTGCACTCACTCTTGGTGGTGATACACAGAATGTGGTGGGGAGTTGTTTGCCCGGGAAGCTGCATCACTGCCGGTGGAACTGTTGGAGACGAGATTTCGATGTGTATATCAAGAGCTCGTCTCGTTTTCTCTAAGTTGAGGTACTTGCGGCACCGCCATGACATTCATCTTTCCATCAGACGGCGGGTTTATTGTGCGACTGTCCACACTGCACTGTGGAACAGTTGCGAGACCTGCGCCGGATGTCTGTCTTCGAGCACTGTTCTTTGCGACCTATTGCCTGTGTGTTGTTGCAGCACGAAACCAATGTGGATGTTAGACAGCGTGTCTTGGATGGAGGCAACCACTTATTCGAGAAACCCGTCCCCCTGCAGTGGCTTTCCATCGCAATGAGGCTGGACCTTACCGTGGGGCGATGGTTTGTGTGCCTCAGCGATCCACTGAGCTATGCTGGGTGGTGCTTTTTTGCACCAACAGAGCCACTCATACCAGATTGGTCAATGGTTAGAGGACAGACAAACCCAGCCTCTTGGTTCTCCAGGTTGGGGGTTGGAATGACGTGGCTCCTTATTACTTAAAAAGGACTCCTTGTAGCCCAACGCCAAACCCGCTGCCTTGCGGTCAGGTTTTGGAACAAAAGGCTTTGGTTGAGAACCCTAATCGTTCTCAGGTTAAGGCCTGGGCAACCTGACAGTATCCTGCTCACGCAATACAATAAATATCTCTTCGAACAGTTTCTTGATGCGTTGGCCACCGCAGAGGATAATCAACGGCGTCATATCTGCTGCATCGAGCAGGGTGGATAGGGGTTTGCATGCTACTGCTCAAGCCTTCCCGTCTTCTCATTCCCCCTCTTGCGCTTTTTCACCCTTATCGTCCCGTTCCAGCTTCACTTTTATCCCCCCCTGTTTTCAACCCCCAATTCTCGGCCCTCCCCCACCTTGCTTCAATAGTCGCTTGTCTTTTAGTTTCAACTCACATGCGAACGCGGAGCGTCATTCCTGTCCTGTCGACAGGCCCATGTCCAACCAAGCGGCCCATTCCTGTTCACCGGCCTCCATTTGGAGCCCTCGATCCTCCTTCAGATTGGCATGTCTCAATGTTCGCACATTGCTTCAGATCGGTCAACAGGCAGCACTTGCCCGAACATTAGAGACCATCTCGATCGATATCTGCTGCTTATCGGAGACCCGCCTGCAAGACGCGAGCTATGTGCTCACTCTGCGATCCCCTTCAGGTGAAACTAGCAGCACTTTCTCATTGCGCTTATCCGGTGAGAATGCAGCTTCGAGCACCGGCCAAGCCGGTGTTGGTATTACCCTGAGTCCCCGGTCTGAAGCTACTCTGGTTGATTGGATTCCAATCAGTAACCGGATGTGTGCGGTCCGATTGGCTGGCTCATTCAAAACTTCGAAGTTGCGTGGGACTAACAGGTGTCTATTCGTCATCGTTGCCTATGCACCCACAAACTATAGCGAGGATTCGGTAAAAGACGACTTCAATCGCCAATTGAACGAGCTCATTTGCCAGAGAAGAAGCTCGGACACTGTTGTGCTGGCTGGGGATCTGAACGCTCAAGTTGGAAAATTATCCACAGATGAGCTGCATCTGGGCAGCCAACATGGTGTAGGCTCCTGTAATGATAACGGTGAGCGGTTACTTCATTTATGTGGGGATGCTCACTTATTTCTTGCGAGCACTAATTTCCGACACAACACCCACCGGAGGGTGACTTCGCACCAACCAGCCTTGGACACAAATCGATCACTTTGCGATAAGTTACCGATGGAAAGGCTGCGTCCAGAACTGTCGTTCGACTTGGAGCACAGGTGTGGACACCGACCATGCACTAGTATGTGCTGACCTGTAGATGCGTTTTGGCGGACGCCCACGACGACGTTGTGAGCGCAGACACCAGCCAACTGGCGAAATCAGCTGTTCTGAATGCCTATCAAAGTAAGCTGTCATGGGAGCTGAGTAAGCGCTCACTGGAGACAATTGAAGCTCAATGGTCTCATATCCAACAGTTCTTACTAACAGCAGGAAAACCCTCATGCGGTAAGTCTAATAGCCAACATGGGAATTGGGTCGCTTCGCAGTCTCTGGAACTTATCGATGCTCGACGGCATATTCCGGATGGAAGCGAACACAATGACGCAAAGAGCTCCGGGCAAAACTCCGTGCTAGCCTGAAGAGAGACCACAAATTCTGTTGGTCTCATTATGAATCAGAGATGGAAATGGCCGCTGCCCTTGGTAATCATCGTAAGTTATTCCGTCTGATACGGGAAACGGGTAACAGGAGACCTGGTGTTAGTGAAACTTTACGTGACGTGAGTGGACAGCCTATCCACAACTTGTCAAAACGCTTGGAGCGTTAGGCTGAGCACTTTGAAAGGCAATTTAATCGGTTGGAATTGTTAGATTTCTCGCCGGCCAGTGATCTCTCCGCTCCTTGGGCTGTCCCCTTGGATCCACCCTCTCGCTCAGAAGTCGAACGTGAGATTGAACTGTTGAAGTTAAATAAACCGCGGGACCTGATGATCTTCCTGCAGCCCTCTTCAAATTCGGAGGGCCTGCTTTTGTGGATGATTTATACGAGTTACTAGTGAAACTGTAGGAGCAGGAAACTGTCCTAACCGATTGGAGCCGCTCCGTCATAGTCCCAATTTTCAAAGGAGGCTCACGATCGGAATGCGGCAACCATAGAGGAATCAGTCTGATTTCGATTGCCTCTATATTTCTTGCCTCTGTCATCATTCACAGACTGACTGGTCCTCGTGAAAGCCAGATTCGTGAAGAGCAAGCCGGGTTTTGTCGAGGTCGTGGCTGCATTGACCACATCTTCACTTTGCGTCAGTTGTTGGAGCACCGTCACATATATTGGCGGCCCACTGTTGTCGTGTTCCTCGATATCAAAGGTGCATTCGATTCGGTGGATAGACATGCACTTTGGGACTGTCTACTCAGGAAAGGTGTCCCTAAGAAATATGTGAATATTATCCGTGCATTATATGCTCGTAGCTCGGGCAGAGTGAGGGCTTACAGCAAGTTGTCGTCGCCCTTTAATATCTCCAGCGGCGTGAGACAAGGATGCCCGCTGTCACTTTCCTTTTCAACTTCGCTATTGACGAAGTCATGGAAATCGCGTTCACAGGACACGACTTAGGTGTGGATCTGCTCCCAGGAGAACGACTTCTTGACTTGGAGTATGCTGACGATATTGCCCTAATCTGTGACAGCTCCCAGACGTGCCAAGCTGCACTGGACAGATAAGCACTAGATGTCAGCCGCTTCGGGCTTTACTTTGCATCATCGAAGTGCAAAGCGTTCCTCCAACACTGGCATGGACCGCCTTCTTCGCTGACCCTTGGTGGGGATCAGCTAGAAGTCGTCCGGAAATTCAGCTACCTTGGAAGTTGTATCAGTTCCCATGGGATTGAAGATGAGATCACGAACCGTATAGCAAAAGCTCGGGGCGCTTTTGCTAACCTTCACCACTTATGACGCCGGCGCGACATCACGCTCGCTCTGAATGCAGCGGCACGTTCGACCCTACTGTACGGATGCGAAACCTGGCCCCTAAGATCGGCAGACATGAAGAGGCTAGTTACGTTCGACCACCGGTGCTTTCGCAGTTTGACTCATATCTGGTGGGAACACTGCGTGATTAACGAGCATGTTCGACGCCTTGTTTACGGCACAGAAAAAGGAACTGAACCGCTCAGCACCGTCGTTTCACGCACCAGGCTCCGATGGCTGGGTTACGTGTTGCGCATGCCAACCCATCGACTTCCACGACGTGCGTTGTTTCTCACCGGTGATGTGAATGGAAGAAGAGGAGGGGTGGCCAAGTGATGACTTGGTCAAGAGGAATGAAAGCCCTCACTTCTGAGCTGGCCTCGGTTGGAGCGTCTCGGCTCGCTGGTTGGGGTCCAAAAGCCGGTGAACACGTTTGGCTTGATACAATTGCTGACATGGCAAGAAGCCGACCTCAGTTGCGTTCCTGCTGTGAGTTTCTTTGTCCCTCCCCATCACTTTTAGTCTCCCCCTCCACCTACGATCTCATTTCCTAGCGTAAAACAATAATTTTTTTGCCTAGTAGCCGGCTGGTACCTTACCGGAACCATGCCTATCCGTTGCTGGTAGCTCAGTTGGCATGAAAATTTTGTATTTATTTTCCTTTTTCATTTATGGATTGCGTCACAGTAGCTGAGGTGTTTCCCACCTCTAGCTGACGTGTATAATGAGGATGATGATGCTTGTGAAACCTGGCCCCTTAGATCAACGGACATAAAGAGGCTAGTTACGTTCGACCACCGGTGCCTTCGCAATTTAGCTCACATCTGGTGGGAACACCGAGTAAGCAACGAGCGTGTTCGACGCCTTGTTTACAGCACAGGAAAAGGAAATGAACCACTCAGCACCGTCATTTCACGCACCAGGCTCCCATGGCTGGGCCACGTGTTACGCATGTGGGACCACCGACTTCCGCGACGTGCGTTGTTTGCGCGCCGGGGGTGTGGATGGAAGAAGAGGTTGGCACGCGATGACTTGGTCTAGAGGAATGAAGGCACTCGCTTCGAAGCTGGCCTCAATTGGAGCGTCTCGGCTCGCTGGTTGGGGTCCGAAAGACGATGAACACGTTTGGCTGGATACACTTGTTGATATGGCTAGGAGCCGACCTCAGTGGCGTTCATGCTGTGAGTTTCTTTGTCCCACCCCATCCCTCTTAGCCTCCCACTCCAACCACGATCTCATTATTTAGCATTTTATAATTTTGCATAGTAAATTATTTTTTTCTGCTGCATAGTAGCCGGCAGACAGCTTACCGGAACGTTGCCCATCCGTTACCGGTAGCTTAGCTGGCTTGCACCTGTTGCATTTTATTCCCTTTTTTATTTTAGGTATTGCGGTATAGTAGCTGAGGTGTTTCCCACCTCTAGCTAACGTGTATAGTGTGTGTGTGCGGTGGCTTGGACAAGTATTGCGCATACCCGTTCAGCGTGTTTCGCGTTCGCGGTTGCTGGACAGAGGTGGATGAAGCGGCGCGGTGGACAACCCACGACGGTGAAGCAATATGAGAAAGCCGGCGAAACAATTGACCTTAGTCGATTGTTCTCGACTACATGGTTGGGGTCCCAGAGGTACGGAGTGTCACTAGTTGAAGGCCCTGGAAGTCATGGTTCAAGACAGACGTCAGTGGTGAACGTATACCTGCATGTTGTGGTGATTCCCTTTCGTCACCGTAATAAAGCAAACTATAAAAAATCAAACTGTGGGTGGAAAACCAGTCATTATACACGGTAGCTGCAGGTGGAAAACACCTCAGCTGTTGTGCCGCAATACTAAAGACAAGAAGAAAAAATACAGCAGGGGTACGCCGGCTGAGTCCCCAGTAACGGATGGACATCGTTCCGGAGTGCTAAGAGTCGGCTGTCGTGCCGTAAAAATAGTTATTTTATGCCTAGCGAATGAGATCTTGATTAGAGGGGAGGCTAAGCAGGAGGGGATGAACAAAGGAACTCACAACACAAACGCCATTGGGGCCGGCTCTTAGCCATATCAGCAAGCGTGTCCAACCAAACGTGTTCATCGACCTTACGACCCCAGTCAGGCAATCAGGATGCACCAGCCGAGGTCAACTTCGAAGTAAGGGTTTTCATTTCTCTCGACTAAGTAATCGCTTGACCTCCTCTCCTCTTCTTCCAACTGCACCCCCGGCGCGCAAACAATGCACCTCGCGGAAGTCGGTGAGCTGGCATGCGCAACACGCGGCCCAACCATCGGAGCCTGGTGGGTGATATAATGATGCCGAGCGGTTCACTCGCTCTTCCTGCACCAAATAGGCGACGCCGAACACATTCATTGCTCACGCAGTGCTCCAACCAGACATGAGCTAAGCTGCGAAAGCAGCGATGATCGAATGTGACGAGCCACTGTATATCTATCGACCTGATGGGCCGGGTTTCAGAAGCGTATAGAAGGGTTGAACGGACGGCTGCATTATAAACTCTGCCCTTCAGAGTGAGAGTAATGCCGCGTCTGCGCCACAGGTGGCGGAGAATAATAAGAGCATCTTGAACTTTTGCCATATGGTCCGTAACCACATCTTCGATACCATGGGCGCTGCCCAGGTACTTGAATTCCTAAACGACTTCTAGCTGATCGCCACGAAGGATCAGTGCAAGGGTGGGTCCCTGCCAATCTTGGAGAAGTATTTTACATATCGATGGAGCAAAGCATAGCCCAAAAGGATAGACAGTCAGTGCTAATCGGTCGAGTGCTGCTTGCCATGTTTAGGAGCTGTCACAGATTAGGACAATATCGCCCGCGTACTCCAAATCAAGAAGTCGCTTACCAGGAAGTAGCTTCACACCTGCTAGGTCGTGTCCAGCGAATGCTGTATCCCTAACTTCATCAATAGCGTACTTGAAGATGAAAGGTGACAGCGGGCAATCTTGTCTCACACTGCTGCTGATACTGAAGGGTGGCGACAGTCTGCCATAAACATTAATTTCGCCCGAACTATGCGCGTACAGCGTTTTGATAATGTTTACGTATTTATCAAGCACAATTTTCCCCAACAGACAGTCCCAAAGGGCACAGCGATCGACTAAGTCACTGAGGCACTTTTATGTAAAGAAACACGACAAAGGTGGGTCGCGAACAAACATGCCGGTGCTCCAACAATTGACGCAAGGTGAATATGTAGTCAATGAAGCTTCGATCTCGACGAAAGCCGGCTTGCTCTTCACGAATATGGCTTTCATCATCATCAACAGCAGTACATAAGCCATTTGAACTGATGCTTCGCTGCCATACAACCATGAGTATCCTATGAAATAGAGAATTAGAAGAGGGA